TTTCAATAATAAATAATAAATCAATATATTTTACCAATATCACTCTGGTCTGGATCCTCTTGAAATATGCACCCACTGCCAAGGAACTGCCCCTTCGTGCGAAAGATAGTGTGCCATACTATCACGTAGAGCAATTATAGATCTTGATGGATTATTCGCACCCATGCGTCCTATCCTTTGAAAACTATTATCAATGTGTTGATCTCGAAACAATCCTCGTGTAATGTGATCATTATCTCCAACAGTGTCGGCAAAATTTGGAGGCCAATATTCTTGCTGTTAGATCTTTTTTTCGGAAATACGCAGAAAATTATGTAAACATATTACGGCAGCAGTAATCATTTGTATATTATGAATGTCACCAATGATATTATTTCGCAAAATTCTCCACCTTGATGCCAAAATACCAAATGAATTTTCTATTATCCTCCTTGCTCTTGATAGACGATAATTGAAGATTTTTTTTTTCATCTAAATTTCTTCCCGGATAAGGTCTTAGAATGTATGGTTTTAGAGAAAAAGCCTGATCTCCAACAAAGTAGTATGCTAGTAGTGCTTGCTGGTAATTTTATCCTACCGGATTCCAATCCTCGTCCAAAGGCTAACTCCGAAAATACTGCACCATCACTTTGTGAACCATATGCTCCGATGTCTACAAGTGTAAACACGTAATCGGCATCACAAACAGCCATCAGAACGATGCTGAATGTTTTCTTATAATTAAAGAAGGCAGATCCTGATTTATTTGGTGCTTGAATGGTAATATGTTTACCATCGATTGCACCACAACAGTTTGGGAGATTCCATTTCCTGTAAAATTCGTTCGCCTTTTCTTTCCATTCTTCGACTATTGGCTGTTTACAATATACGGGACTAAGAACATCCCATATGACATTGCAAGTTTCCTTGACTATAACAGATACAGTAGTTTTTCCGATTAAAAAGGACCATGCAACTACCTGCATACTGCAGCCTTGAGATAAATAGCTACAATAATATAAGTTCTACATTATTATTTACATTAAAATTAATATATATAGTTATGTATAAGACATGATAAAAATTAAAAGATTTTACTTACAATAATGTAATAAGCAGCCTATGCTCTGGATTTATAGACTCACGTATGCTGTGTTTCTTTAATTTGTCTTGTATAAGTCCTAATAATATGTAGAAATTGGTCTGTGACATCCTTGTATACTTTATAATTGTTCATTATCCACTGTAGCCATGTCTTTAAATAAATTATGAAAATGTCCTTTATCTTTTCTTTTTTTATTTATTGGACGTACACTCCAACGGCGTTTGTTCCTGATTTTTTTATTTAACGGTGCGTCTGTATATTCAGTATATGCTAGCCCCAGAATTGATAAGAACATTCCACACATTGCTATTTCGGACAAATCCATACTTTTTATTAAATTTAAAATTTATTTATATGACTAATGATCTTTAAAGTTATGTGATTATACCGTGGCCGTAACATCGGTACTGGCTATTATAAACCGCTCCTTTACAGATTACGGTAACGGTCTCTACGGTTACGGCCACTGAATTACGGTTATGGCCTATTATAAACGACGCTTTAGTCAGCTGCTTGCCGCACGTAACACTTGTGGCGTTGTTGTGTACGGACTTAGGTTACGATCAAAATCTCACTACAAATATTTTGAAGCGTTTGCTTGACTAATTAGAAGAAAGAAATTTGCAAATTAATCAATCAAAAATTGCTTTAAAGCATTTGTAGCATCGCGTTGACCGTACCCTTATACACGTGTTTTAAAGCTTCGTCTGATTTTCAATCGCCGAATATCAATCGTTTGTGATTGTCAGTGATTAACTGATTAATCGGTTAATAAATTCCTCGTGTTGTCAAGTTAATGTAATTGAATTGTGTCAATATGTTGAAACGTGGCATAATTTATAAAAGAAACTTATCGGGGTGATCCTGATTGATCACGGCTCGATTGGACACCACCAATCACAGCGACCAGTGCTTAAGAGCTTTGTAGTATCAAGCGCTGTGAGTGGCTCGTGTCCAACTGGGTACCACCCAACTTATCGTGGAAACATGTGACTAGATATCTACATACTTAAGAGACATTAATATTTGAGTGATGAAAGTGAATTACAGTAAACAGTTATGTCGAGCGTTATTACGGTGCACATCCGAACTTATTCCTCCAATTGTTTCAAGAAGCTAGAGCAAAATGGAATCAGTGAACATCTACAAGGTAATAACAATTTTATAATTGAGATGATAATAAGCTTTTAAAGTGTACTTGGCTTACATTTTTGTTTTAAACATTCATAATTCTTTGAATGTTAAAAAGCACGATCGCGTTTCTCATAAAACTTGTCATAAATATGTAATAAATACTACGAACGGGAGGATCCCGTTTGCCTACAGTTCTGATTGTACACACCACTCATATCAACTGGTGCCTAGTAATTTTTCACTGTTTTGCAAATGAGATTATTTTATTTTTAAATTGGCCAATCAGCGATACATGTGTGCAATATGCATGTGTGCAATCGGAGCTCTCCCACTACGAACGCGATATTGCTGATAAAATTGTTAGAGACATTTTTGTAAAATTGAGAAATTTAACAATAATTGCGTGCCACAAGTATTATGATGCCTATTGTCATACAATTAAGTCTAATAAGTATTTCAGTATATCGAATTGTATAAAACGCTCTTAGAATTTGACGTACTGAAATAATTGTATGATTTGTATGTCAATAGTTCTATAATACTTATCGCGCGTAATTATTGTCTAATTTTGCTCTTTTACGACATTTCTCTAACAATTTTATAAATGTAATTAGAATGCAATCCACTATTCAAAGGATTCAATATCCATTTTAATTTCATCATTCTAATTTATAATTTAATGAAATATTTAAAGTACGTGAAAGACAAAGAGATAGTGTGGTAGAGGGGAAAGATGGAAGAAGGAGAAAGAAGTAACGTGTTTTTATAAACGTGTGAGTGCATCCGGTAATGTGCACCCCGTACGTAAAGCGTCGCATCTAACCGTGAGCGCCGCTCCTGCCCGTCTCCTATACGCGACCCGTGATACGCTAACTATTTCTTTTTGTAATTTGAAAACTAAGCTTCGGACAAAATTTTCATAAAGAAAAAATCGTCTCAGAATATGGCCAAGATTTATGCCCGGAAAAATACAAACGACACAACTGCACGTTATATGTATACAGAGCGGATACCGGCTTAAAGTAGGCATTCTTTTGTGTACGCCACAGCGGCAATGACAAGCAACTTTAAGACTCAGTCCGCCAACCAAGATCGCAACTTTATTTAAATGAGATTTCCTATAATTCCTATGTCTACCTTGATGGTATCTACGCGGGTATATACAATATATGGATAAAGGAAGTAACGAGATTTTTCAAATATTTTGCACTTTCTTTGAAAATCACCCATATAAAAATATAATGAATCGTTAGTATGAAGCACACAAGGTTTTACACTCGTCCAGCCGTGGGGGCGGCTGTCTTGTATGCGAGTGGGGCGGAGGGAGCAGCCGCCCCCCTGTCCTCCTTGTAGTTACGCCACTAACTCAATTTCTAGTAAGAAATCCGTTCCGTCGTTCCGATTCCGTGTACAGGGAATGGCACCCTCATTCAAACGCGTATGAACATTTGTTCTTATCTAAAGCTCTAGACATCTCAATGTAGGCAATATCTTTTATCTGGGGGTAGCAATCATGTAATTTTTCTCTAGGACGGAACATGAAAAAGGGACATTTTTTTGTATGCATGTATACGTACATACGAGGTGTGATCAAAAAGTAAGGTGACTTTTCATTTTTATAAAAAAATATTCATTTATTCATCCAAAATTATGTTATCCCCTTCAAAATAATCCCCCTCTGATACAATGCACTTGTGCCAGCGCTTTTTCCAGTCGTCAAAACACTTCTGAAATGCACTTTTGGGTATTGCCTTGAGCTCCTCCATTGATGCAG